TCTGTTGGTCTTCATTCTTAACACCCTTTCTCTCATTTCTTATTTTTGATCATATTCTCTAAGCTCACCACAAGAAGAGCTTCTTTATCTAAGCGCGCACTAGTAATACTRTKRTATGGTTTGYTTAGGTCGTGTRATAATCAGYGGTGCTAGTGATGGTATCATTGCTATCAGTAGCCCATCGACTGGTTTAACAGTGCGTCTACTTAACGACCATAAAGGTGCTCCAATAAGCGATCTACACTCCACAATTAGAGATCGGCAATATAGCGTGTCTAGYCCAATGCTTTGGCTGGCCGCAAGCAAAGACAGTAGAGTGAGTATATGGAGTGCCAAATGGTCACAAGACTTCTGTGAGCTCGTTGATTGGTTGTCCTTCCCAACCCCTTCCATTGCACCTGATGGCAAAGCATTACGAAGAGGGGACCTGGTGAGAATTCTCGACTTTTGCGAGTGCTGTTATTATATGCACTGGCTATATAATATTTAAAGTTTGTGTAATGAAGTTTCAGTTAGTTTTCTTTTTTTTTAACTTGATTATAACATTTCATTTCGTTCAATGTTGTTTTCAGATTTTYCATTCACTTTCTATTTTCTTTCATAACGCTCGTCTTCTTTCTCAAATTACCTATAATTTCAGCCTCAATACGATCGATTACCTCCAAGTCTAGCGCGATTCTCGCCCTCTGACCCTGACATCGTTATTTTCACTGGGTACTCAATGCAAAGAGCTGTTCAGTTCTACAGCTTAACGCAGAGAAAGGTCATAAGAACAGCAGTTCTGACTCACTGGGCGACTTCAATGGATGTCTCACCTCTAGGAAACCTTATCGCTTTTGGCACGCACGAACGTCTTGTTCAAATGATGGATTACGACGAGGGAAGATTTCAAGACTTTGTAGGACCTAGTGATACTGTATCTAAAGTGTGTTTCTCGCCAACTGGCAAGCTTCTCTATGCTGTTAGCTACTTGGCGTTGCTTGCATGGGATGTAGTTGTGTAGTGTGGTCTGGATAGAGATCAAGATGCAGACTTTGTCATCACTCTAGTGCGATAACATTAGCATTAACACAAGGCTCCGTGTTCGGTTATGAGCTACTGTTTTGTTCTGTGCATTCTCTGGCTTATAATCTCAAAAGTATATAATTTATTTTTGTAAAATATTAGGTTAATCTTTTCTCATTGTCCAACCAACAGTGTTTTACAGCCAGTTCTTTCATAATGTRATTGATAGCAGATTTATGTAGAAACAAGTTAAAGAAAAAGAAAATATATAATTGAGAACTTGAAACTATTGTAGCAATGTTTTATGTGTCACTATGTGCTAACTTGTGTRTGTGCRCCTGTTTGTCCTTGAGTTAAAAACAAGCCATTCACATTGTTAATGACCAAATCACTATTTATTWAAAAAAATCTACTTAATTATGTTACAAATCAAGAAGTTAAATGAGAAGTCTTTCAATGTTTTGCTGTAGCGACTGGATCTGAGACTTCARCTGTGAACCCTCATTTGCAGTAACAGCACATGCTATTACAGGTCTTGTAACACCACAAGCACGRCCAAGRGCAGCCTTAGAACGTACAAACACATACGATACATTCTGAAAGGAAACAAGCATTCTGCATAAAAGGTGGGAACTAGCAGAAAACTAGTGTGAGCTG